ACGCACGTGACCATGCAAGTAGTAGAGCGATAGACGGTCGACGGATAGATCTTGCCAAGGCAAATCTACCATTCTACTATCTACTCATCTACACAGGAAGAACTTAGGGATATATAAGGACACTCATTCATGTATCTATTTTGGGTTCTCCGTCTTCAATCATGAATTGGTACTTTTTTAAACTTCAGAGACTCTTAACTTGATAACAACTTGACAACCACTACAGATAGACCAAAACTCCGGGATAGATATATCCGGCGCTCTACCTGGTGCCCAGTAGACTGCAACATCAGACCCGTCGATGTGAAGGAAGGTAAATTCGCTATCTCCCTGTAAGAAGGACGATTTTATCCTGTAAACATTGTGAAAATCCGAGAGATTTATTCCTCACCTTCTTTTGTTGATTTTCGAATCTTGTTCAAAGCCAGCACGTCTTAGTGTAGAAGTGTCTGCGTGACATCCTCAAATCTCACAGTGTCGGTGTCAATAGAACGGAGGCACAGGCTGCTTGACATGTCCCGAAGGCCGAATTGCAAACGATGATGGAGGCAGGTGCACTTGCACCCATAGTAGCTCCCCAGGTGAATCCTGCTACCGAATAACAAGCCATGACAACCGCAGCACATCCTGCTTGGCACACCCCGTAGGCGGCTGGTCCGGCAGATACAGCAGAGGTGAAGAGTAGCAAATTATCAATGAGTACCCACGGGGCTCTCATTCTTTTTGAGTCGTGAACAGATCGGTTATGTTTGGAAACTCAAAGGGTTTATGTATTCAGCTTGGGTATAATAGGGGTTTGCAAAGTATGGAATAGCTGATGCGGTTTAACAGAATGAGACGCATCCGGCATATGCTGTAACTTGCAAGGCATTACGGGAACGAGGGATAGTATGCTGCCTAATGGCCATTTAATGACTCGTCGACTATCGGTGGCTATTCTCTTAGCCTATCATAGAATTTAGTGTACCGCCTTACCTGATTAGAGCTTATACCGAGTTTGTCTTTGCCACTTAAGCATGACGCTTTGAGTTGCTGCATGATGCCACGGACTTAGTCGTATGTATATTGACATATGTTACAAAATAGCAAGGTGAATGGAGGTCACACATTTTCAAAAATACCACATTGAATAAAACCTGCGAACCCGATCTGATGGACGCTCAGAAAAGTCTCCTCCAGAGACTCCACAGCCCGAACTCGAAACAAGACTCTCGAGTCGAAATCATCCGCCAGTTTTTGACCCCCGACGACGCATCTCCGATAATTCAACAGTTTTTGTCCGATCACTGGGTTACTAATGGACAAGTGCTGTGGAGCGGCGTGCCTCGCAACCTTGCCCAACAATGGGCCCAAAATCACCAAATGCAAACCCTGACTACTGCGATGGGACCCTTAATGAGGAAAGAGCACCCCCAATGCCGCAGGACGGAGCTTTCCGCCCAAAAATGGAGTAAATATATTCATGGGGCTTCAGCAATCTTCGCGTGGCGCATAGCTGAGGGTCAAACAGTCACGCTTTTTTCCCCTCCACCACCAGGAAGATTCCACCCATCAGGCTTGTCATATTTTCAAGTGATTGAAGAGCCAATAATCAAAACGTGGTCTGGGCAAGATGCGCCATGCCGCATAATGGTGGTGCATCCAACGGTAGAAGGAGCTGCAGATTTCTCCTACGAAATATGGTCGAACGATGACAGTTTCTTATGGATTGAGCGATTTGGCATGCAGCCAGGCCGGAGAAAATGGAGGCAAACAAAGCAAATCGATGGAATACCACATCATCAGAATGTTGAGGCAACATCAACCCAGCCCAGTGGGCTGGCAGCCGAGTCAAGGCTATTGGAAGACAACTAAGTTAGTTTGCAAATCCCTCCTACTGTCATTCCCGTGATTAGATACCTGGAATTGCATTTCCCGTACTAATTTTGCCTACAGACAATATTCACTGATCTGTTTGTCCCTATTTTCATTGCTCTTATCATATTATGCGCCCCGAAAGTTATTCTGATCTTGACTTTGGGGATTTTGATCTACTGTCTCTTATGTTTGTGCAATTGGACATGAAAGACCCACATGAAGGACAATTTTGCACAGCGATTGAGCAGTCTCAGCAAACACTGTCGATTTGGAGCTGTGAGCTGAAATTTCTGGGTTACATTCTCTTAGAGATTGTGGATGCTGAAGACCGAACCTCGTACTGGAATCAGGTAGCAGACCTGCCCACAGTGGTGGATGCGCTCAGGCATGCATGTGCCAGATCTGATGGAATCCTACACAAGGCATTAAGCAAAAGAGGTTTGACTTATTTTGCCGAGTCGCTCAAGAAACTGAGGCAAATCTGCAAGGCTGCGGGCCATTATCGCTACTATGACGAACTGCAAATGATGGCACTCAGAGAAATTAAAATAGAGCTCAGCAGCCAACTCCAATCAGTCATCTGGATATTGGCCCCGAAAGTCGATAAACATCAGGTATGAAGCACGTTTTGTTTGTTATATATTTTCCTTTCTTTTGGTTTCTAATGGTAATTTCTCTAGGTTGAATTGGATGTGAGTATCATGTGTACGCAACATGACAATCGCCAGAAATCTCGGATAGAGAAAACTTCTGTCGAAGGCGAGCCTTTACTAGGCCAGCGTCAACGAATCATCCATGAATTATCCAGTGAGATATGCCACGCGGGATGAGAATGTATCAAAACCACCTAAGAAAACGTAACATTTTGTATGGCCTCCCCGCATAACAAATCTATGACCCCTAACAGGCTTGGGCGGAAACAATATGTGTACCACCTTCCCAATGACACTGGACTGTGATTCACCAGTCACTTTCGTCACTTTCGTCACTTTTGTTTCTTGGATCTTACATTCTTAGGAACCATTTTCTTTTTTTTTTTGGGAAGGCCAAAGGGATTATCAGTACGTTTGATCGCCCTTTACTTCTTGTTACTGAAGCTATCTACATCTGCACCGGAAGAACCCATACTCCAAGCAAGTCGGTCCGCTATGGACCGACAGATGGTTCAAAGCTCAACTGGTGGTATTCCTTACACGCAAATGAGCTCTCAATTGAGTCTGTAATTTCATGGCCTGATACACGGAGCACAAAAGCTGGGGCTATTCTTCTATTCTATGTAACCGAACCAAGTCTTGGATTTCTTGCAAATGCACAAATGCCGTAGAATCTCAATACAAGCAACCCCATAAAAACTGTCTCCTACTGATCTCTATAGAACCGGGCAACAATCCTAGAAGCCCAGACAACGCTCCCTGGATCACTAGCCGATTTCTACGTCAGTAGGTAGGAGGGAACTGATGCTTGGCCGAGACCACGAGTGTTATTTAAGCTTCTCCTTTCCCTCGTCATCTCGCCTTTGCCGAGGTTCTCAATTCAAAAAAGCCCAAGAATTTAATTGCATTATCTTCATCACTCTTCATTGCCATCATCCGTCATCTTTGAACCAACAAAGGTATTTTAAGCAGCGGTTTTTGTCACCGTTTGCGATCCTGAACTTCAGCGCCCCAAATCATGGTATGAACAGTTGAAATGAGAGGAGTCTTCCAAATAATGACTGTATCATGCAGCTTTCTATGCTTGACTGCTCAACAGAGATCCTTTGGATCATAGCCAGCGCCTTCCAGGGAGGCGATATTTCTACTCTTGCTCGAACAAACCCAACACTCTACCCCAAGCTACGCCTCACCCTGATTAAACATAACATCAGGCACCAAAACAGCTCTACGCTTCACTGGGCCACTAAAGCCAGCAATCGCGCCTTTTCAAAGACCTTTCTTTCCTACCGAGCCAACGTAGATGCGATGGTCAATGACTTTTCTCCTCTCATGACCGCCGCAAAACATGGCTCAGAGCGGGTTACCGATCTCTTACTGCGCAAGAGGAAGCCGCGTGTGAATATGAGAAATGCGAACGGCATGTATTCTCTGTGGCACGGCGTGGAAAAAGGGTCATATGCGGTCGTGAACCAGCTCCTTCAACACTCTCGTATTAAGATCGATCTTCCAAACCGCGAGGGCCAAACAGTGCTCTGCCTTGCCGTGTTCAGGGCCAACAGAGACTTTGTAAGCCTGCTAAACGACTGTGGGCCCGCCTTACAAGCTCAGCCTTGGCTCTAATTGTGGCATACCACAACTTCTGATTGATTCGCCGAGCAATGATAACCAAGCTCAGAATAGTATCAAGGTCGCCGTCTGCCTGGTATCCCAAAAGATCTCTTGCCAGATCCAAGGCCTTGGTTTGGGTTGAGAGAGATGCTCTTGCAATCAAGGCACTTGAAAAGCTCCAGACTATAACACATGCCATTATAGAAGTGCACAGCGCTCGTCGACATGTGCCAATGTTGCAGAAGGATTTGAGTCCTTTGGCCCTCGGCTGTGAGACTGCAGGGTCATCAACAGGAAATCAACACCGAGTCATGAACGGCTTTCAGCATCGATTGAAGTGTGTACGTCTGCCGTTATATTTGGATTGATAATGAGGGCCATTGCTTAAAGACCATCTGCCCCTGGGACCACCACCGAATTGCTGTCCTGAAAAATGAAAGTCAAGGATGCTTGAGGGGTTTGCTGCCGTTCCATTGCGCGGATGAGGTTGCTCAAGTTTCATGGTGAAAAGAGCTTTAGAGTACAATATTTTGGATATTAAACGGCCAGCTGTCAATAGAGTGCTTCGGAGCATTGAAGACGATTTTGTCTCCAATGTGAAACAGTTCTTACGCGCGGAGTTCAAAAGCTCCTAAAGCTCGTCGGTTTATCCCTACAGCGCGAAACGCATGGTGAAACGCACGGCCCCTCTGCTGTGGCTAATATAAAAAATACATAGCACGATTTCTGATACGCTATTCAATTGTTGCGGAAAAACCTCAAGCCACAGATCAAACCTCGTCTAGTATTCAAGTCACCCCACGGCCTTTGTTTTAAATCCAGCTTAACCGGTTATCCTAAATGGTCTTGACAGGTCAAAGGCACAAAGCTCCCAAAGTGTCAAAGCCATCGAAGTGAAGACTGCCGAACAGAAGAGACCCTCCACTGCTGCTTCCACTCCTGCTCTGCACTGGTTTCCTCAGCTCGGGATTTATCAAGAGCCACTCTTAATAAAACAATAGCTCGAATCAGGCGCGGGTCACCAGAAGGGCTTTTTGCGGGGTTGAAATGATACTGCAGAGCAAGACTTTGGGTTGCGTCCATTGTGGCGCTGACGAGTTGGTGGAAGCTCTCAAAACACTTGGAATAAAAATTGTTCTCAAGCCCCTGCTGACTCTGTTGTTGCATTCGTTCGGCCTTTAACTCCAAAATTGACATTTGGGGTTGTGTTTTGGATTTTCTCAGCCGCGGCCGTGTGGTTTCCAAGGCCATAGTAGACCCACGAGCCATAGAGATTTGGTGGTCCAGTAGATTCATCTCAGGAAGAGATGGCTTGATTTGTAGGGTAGTTGATATGATATTCATAGGGATAGCATCTTTGGCCGTGTCGGTGGATCGACTGTAGATGCATGAGGTGGTGTCGCCAGAGCCACCGCGAATTTGTTTTTGAAAAGGGTTCATCGGATATCGATCGCAGACTGACGTCTCAGCTCACTGAAACCGAGATTGGTCTCGAGATTTGCAGGCTTTTTAAGAACGAAAGGTCTGTTTTATGGGCGAACGCAGTCGATTGGTGCTCTTGGATATTTTCTCAACGGCTTTCCTTGCATTCTCACCACCGTTGGCGGACCTCGAACTCCTAGTCGTAGACCAGCAGAGAAGCCAGCTTCTTCTGCTAACTTCATGGAACTTCCGGATGGGAGAACTCTGGCTCAAGGGTCGCAGCAAATCAATGAGAAACCAGGCTCTCGCATCACGAAGATATCGCGATCGAGCAAAGAACAAGAACTTGATGGCTGATGTCGATGCATACTAGCGTGAGATGGGCAAGCTATCATCTCTGGTCATGCAGCAAAGAGATCAATTGATTATCCTCAAATAATTCAAGGAACTAGTATTGGCCAGGCAGATAGACAGTGCCATTGCAGTTCTCGGTCGTCGCCCACAGGAAATTTCCGTTTACTTTATCGATGCTCAAGCTCTGCTAATCACGTCTATAGCCACTACTGGTAGATTCCGCTACATACAAACACATACCACAGTTTCTCCGTTACTGCGACAGCTACCATGCTTCAATGCCCTGGATTGGCGCTTGTATTGACTTTGAAGTCCATTGCAAGGACCGAACAGCGGGGCAGGTGCGATGGCGAGGAAAATGACCCCTGTTCCTTTATGAACGTGCAGTATTTGATGGCGTGATTTCCCGATGTCCCGGAGATGAGACTTACATCGCAGGCAAGCGGAGGCATCAACTAACCTGTCGCTCATATCACTACATCTCTGCCTTTTCCAGTGTCACTCCGGAGCACATGTTGATATCGTCCTTTTCATTTGTTTCAGACCTCTTTGATCTTTGCACTTGCAGCACGCTTGCCGTTGCAGAAGCAAATGAAGTCTGGTCTGGAAGCTCAAGAACAAGAAAGTTGCAGTTTCCCGGTATCATCCGGCTTCAGAGCCTTCCGTTTAACCTTCAGCCAGGTAAAAAGGATCGGATCTATCTTTCATTCGAATTTCTAAACTTTGCGCTTCGATACTGTATACTTTTCATCAAAGAGGTGAAAATTGCATGGAAGTGTTTCAAAAGCATGAAAAGCAAATTACACAAATGATCTTCGATCTTCGAGCGGCTATTCTAAAGGGCCAAACGTGTGCCACATCCAGAATATCCCTTTTGGCCAAATGTTTCCAAAATGCGAGAAGAACATAGTGTGATTCGTATGCCCTTTATCTTGAAAAATGATGCGTCAGAGTAAACCTAACCTGGCTGGCAAGTTGCAGAATTTTCTTTTCAATGCAAAGACGGATTCCAAAGAGCTTCTGGATGCACAGCATCGCAAGTGCTCCCAACCCTCAGTCCGTCACTCAATGTACAAGCCGAAATGTTTCCTTGCTTGTTGAAAAAGGTGACGCGGCCGGTTTTTTCCAATAGGATCCACACTGCTGGCAGGCCCTCTGCTGTACTGCATGCCTCGACGGATACCATTGGCAAGTCGCGGCTGGTACCATTGACTGCTCCGCCCAATTCTAGATATTCGTCAGTCGGCCGGTCATAAGTTGATTATTTAAGGGTTCTTACTCGAGCAGTCTTCTTCATTTGGTAGGGCAAATGGACTCGAATGGCCCGTGCAGCCATGGTTGCCATTTGACCATATCATGCATTGGTCCCCAACATCAACAATGCCCAGAGTGCTAGCAGCAGAGTGCCGCGCGTAAACGACAATAGGGAATGCAAAGAGAGATAGGAGCATTTCGCCAATAATTGATTTGATGAGCGAGATGCCAAGGAGATAAAGACGCTATTTTGAACGAAGCTGGCAGTCTCAGTATCGCTCGTCTGGTCTATCAAGATCAAGGAGCGCGGCTTTGCATGGGGCATTGCCTCGCAATTTATATCCATTTCATTCTACAGCACGATTCTGTTGATGAATCGAGCCAGCGAAATGATGGAAGTGGTGAAAAAGTGAACAAATAAATAAATTTGTTGAGGCGTGTGGTGGTTGGGTGTTGGTTTGTTACGGTAATGTTTCTAGGTTTGTTCACTGCTATACGCAGATATTGAGGGCTGGTACAAAAAATTGTGTTTAACTTGCTCCAACGATTCATTGTGGCAACTGGTAGCTGCAAGGAAGCGTGAGGAGCATATATCGGCCACCGGGATCCATCACACAGATGAGTCAACATCATCAGTTATCATCCTCGCCAACTTCACTATCGGAGGCAGCCAGTCGTCCGACCAAATCTAAGGCACAACAGAGCAATAATTCGCAAATATGGCTGGTTATTGAGGTTTAAAATCCAGCTGAAAATGCGCGAGTTTAACTGACCTTGGCTATGCAAATGAGCTCCATCAATTCTATGTACCATACAAGCCTCTTTTTCATGAAAATCTACCAATACGTCCTAGTATCAATGAATCCAATTTAGGTTAGAAAGGCAGCAGACCTAGAGGCTGATGGAGATTCTAGAAGCTAATCTGTTCAGTCACCTACAAGAGACCGTACTTGTTTTTCGAAACCGTGGATCGAGGATTTACAGTGTAAAATAAAAAGAATCAATTTTTCAAATAATTCCAAGTAGTGGCTCACGGAATAGCAGGATCCGGAAAGATCGTACTTGCCTTTCTGGCAAAGCCATCAGGAAATCAGTCACGTACTAGCAGCCCCGGGAATGCATATCTTGGCCCTGGAATTTCTATTGATCTTGGGGGCCTCTTAAATGATTCCGGGGGCTTAAACGCCGCTTCTAGGAGCCATGTAGCCCCTAGGAGGTTCAACGTAGCTTTTGGGGCCCTGTACTCCACCCCGGGGAATAAACGTCATGTTCCTGCTGACAAACCTTTTAGCTCCTGGAGCCTTAGTGCGGTTTCTGGGGCTATGGCTTGCCTTTCTAGGGTTTATTGGATAACGCAGCTTGGTGTGTAGGTCTGGTCAAAGCTTTTTGTGGTTAATAAACTACCGTAGGAGGCAGAAGACTGACACTGGGATCCAGATCTAGAGTCCCAGGAACGCAATAGCTCCCGGATCTAGAAAATGCGTTCCCAGGGCCAGGTTTGATTCATTCAGGAACGTAGATGGAAGACCCTAGGGTAGACCGCGCTTTCCTAGAAACAGGAAATAGCCCAGGAGCTCAAGAGGAATTCCCAGGAAATCAACGGCTCCTAGAATTGTTTGTTGTCAGTGGTAGTTTACCACTAAGCCCGTTTTGGACAGGATCCACAAGAGAAGCTTACTAAGAAGCAAGCCCCTGAGTCTGGTATGTATATAACAGGCGGACGGATGTATTTAGAAGAACAACTGTTTAGTGATAATCCATTGCTAAGTACGAGACCTTACCGATTGATCCATCGTCGACACTATATCAAACCCAGATGCCAAGCTGGTAGTGAAACACACTAGATCAAAGTCGGTTAGGCCGCAGATCAACCCTCGCGGACCCACTGCCAAGATACTAGCGTTAAGGTTTTATAGCGAATAAGATGGTGAGCGGTAGCAGGAGGCAGAATTGTAGTCCAAGTCATGATGTCATTGAAACCGTTGCTCACGCGATCGGACGTCTTTTTTTCAATTCTCTTGATAGATCGATCCAATATTATCATATCATCTACTCATGTAAGAGCATTCCAAACTTCCGGATACTCATAGGAGAAAAGGTTGTTCTCTTATCTCCCAGCAATGAACCGCGATAAAAATAATTTTCAACAATTTACGGATGATCAGTTGGCTCAAGTGCTTTTCCTTAGCACATTAAGCCAAACCCTATCTTTTCAGGAAGCGGCAGATATATATGAACGATTTCAATCGGATGAATGGATTCCTAACGGTCAAGTCCTCTGGAGTGGCGTTCCTCGCGGCATAGCCCAAGATTGGGCTGATAGTCATCACCTCCAGACGTTGACCACTGCGATGGGGCCGCTTATGAACGAAAAACATCTGGATTGTCTCCGATCAAAAAAAACGCACCAGCAGTGGAGTCGCTATATACATGGTGCTTCTGCAGTCTTTGCTTGGCACATAGCTCATGGAGAAAAGGTTACGCTACTTTCACCTCCCCCCCCAGAGCGATTTCATCCGTCGGGTCTTTCTTACTACCAAGTCATTGAAGAGCCTATCACCAAGGGCTTGGTTGGCCGCTCGGCTGTTGATAAAATAATTATAGCACATCCCACTGTTAAGGAAAGTGAGGAATTCTTATATGAGCTGTGGCCGAATGACGAAAGTATCGAATGGCTGCAAAGATTTGGATCAAAGTGTATCGAGAAAAACTGGAGACACACTGGACGCAACATGGAGAAATTGAAATTTCAGATGCTGATGACTGTTCCGGAACAATATGATCGACTTAAAGCAGACAAGGTACGTTCATTCACAGGATCGCTTTTACCCACTGGATCGTCGCTTATGGTCTTACCTAGGTTACCCATATCCAAACTGCTCGAATTGTTTTACTGGTTCCGATACTTTTGATTCTATTGAATAAGCTGCCAATGTTGTTGTTAGTCGGGCTTTTATACTCTCTTGCTAAAAGAATATGGGGGGAAAACAAAACAGAATACCATTCCCTACAGCAGCAAGATGATGAAGCATTTGCAATTGAAAGAAATGGGACAGCTACCCAAGTGGCCAAGGCCCAGCTGGAGGCTGCAAAGAAGATCAAGGAGAAGAATAAAGCTGATCTAACGGCTCAGCAGAAGGCAGCAAAGAAGGCCAAGGAGAAGAACAAAGCTGATGCAAAGGCTCAACAGGAGGCTGCAAAGAAGGTCAAGGAGAAGAACAAAGCTGATGCAAAGGCTCAACAGGAGGCTGCAAAGAAGAAGGCTCAACAGGAGGCTGCAAAGAAGGTCAAGGAGAAGAACAAAGCTGATGCAAAGGCTCAACAGGAGGCTGCAAAGAAGGTCAAGGAGAAGAAAGCTGCGGCCCATGCCCAGTAGGAGGATACGAAGAAGATCAAGGACAAAGACAAAG